CCCCCCACCTCCCACCCCCTCCACATGCCTGTCCTGCCCATAAGAAAGGCAGAAACGCAGAAGTCATTATCAACCCACTTTCCAAATGATGCAGAGGTATAGAGAGGTTAGATGACCTGGCGGAAGTTTCCCCAGACCTCTCTCCCTCCACTTGGTTTTCTTTCCATCAGTACCACACTCCTCCCTAAACAACAAATGGAAGCAGTATTTCAGGGAGACAAATCTATTTCAGGAATCAAATGCTTCAGGCACTGGAGGAGACCAATTGCATCTAAACAATACGCTGATTGCAAATGAATGTTTTTTTATTAGTATTAAAGCTGATCTGGCTCGCTTTGTCACTCTGTTAGCTGTAAATTGTGTTAGTTACTACCTGGCCTTTAAAAGTAGTAAAATGCACTCTCTCACAGAATAATCAAGATCCTCAAATTCAGACCAGCTTTCTCCTGGACCTCACATTAGTTTCTACTGTAACTTGCTCATAACAGCTATCCAGGCATACCTTGGAGATGTTGCAGGTTCAGGTCCAGATCACCGCAATAAAGCAAGGATTGCGGTAAAGTAAGTCCTAATCTTTTTGCTGGTGATGAGTCTTGCCTTCAGTTTGTAAAAAACGCAACAACTGTGAAGTGCAATAAAACGAGATGTGCCTGTATTTCTTTCCCTGGGAGATGCTAGACGTGCATCTGGATTCCAGTGACTACATTTCCATAGCTTCCAATCACTTCTTCCCAGGCCCTAGTACACTGCCTGTGATTGATCCATGGGGCAAGGCTCAGGCAAAGAAACCTGGGCAGAATTTTGGTGTGGTATTCCTTTAGTTGTTTGTCTTCTTCCCAAATGGCTGAATTAAGGGACTGGAAGAGTTCATTTGAAAATTATTATTAATATTGGACCTGCTCCCCGGTGGAACCAATGTACCTTAGTCTTTAAGGAGTGGCAGATTCATCCAGTGAGATAAATTAACTCAGGAGCAGATTATCATCTGGTGCCTGGTAGGCAGTAATTTGCTAATTGATATTCTGGTTCCCTGGAAGAATTAATTTACCTCTCGTTGGAGAATAGTTTATTCTCAGGCAGTCGTTCCACCCACTTCCTTCTGCACCATCTCCTGGCTCTCAATACTACGTTTAAAACTGGTCAGATCCTGGGCCACATGTTTATGAGTTGGTATTTCATGCTAAGGAAACCTGATAAATGAAAAAGTCCTGACTTTCAAAGCAGATTAAATGGATTGTCAGCCACTTTATAGAAGGAATTTTCACTTTACTAATGACATTATAGAGCTGCCTAGCTAAACAAAACAAATTTTGTAACTAAAACAAATTTGATGAAAAAAAGTGTGCTTTTCAAAGGTATGGAGATACAGGTGTATTTGCAAGTTTTCCTCAGTCAAAGTCATCTTTAGAGTTTCAAGAGCTATGCCAAAAACAGTATCTTATACATTCTAGCTACTCAGTAATTATGTACTGAATTTAATCTGCCACAGAATTCATCAAGATGGATCTTCACAGGGTTGCCCAATTTCTGCAGTTCTGACATGTTGGGCCACGTAAATCTTTGTGGTTCGGGCTGCCCTGTGCATTGTGGGATGTTTAGTAGCACCCCTGGCCTTTACCCACTAGATGCCAGGAGAACTCCTATCAGTGTGACAATCAAAAATGTCTCTAAACATTGCCAAAAGCCCCCACTGCTCAAGTCACCCCCAGTTAAGAACCACTGGTCTAATATTTTTTTCTCCTCCTTGAAGTCATTTTTTGCCATAGTAGGTACTTCCAAAATGGCAACTAAAGTCCTTAGTAGTGAAACTAGTGTTTATTTTAGGGTCAGAAAGATTTGTCACCTTCTACACTCAGTAATTCCACAGGAAATGGGTAGCCAAGTGGAGTTGTTGACACAAACATGTCCATAGTAAGACAAACTCAAACGTTTTTCAGAGTTTTCTTTTCAAAAATAGACATAATAAAGTGTCCCTTGGTTGTCCTCCTCAGAAATGATTGCACTTTCTGGCTTTGGCATGTTTGCCAGGGAGTCTGTTTGTATTTGTGCACAGTTTCGTTAAGCTTTCTTTTTTAATGTTTTATTATGTTCCCATATATGTATTTTTTTAATATAGGAAAAATATATAATCAACAACCTCAGGTTTAATGTTGCCTTTTGTGACTTTTTACTTTCTTATTATAGGGTCACAACATCTTTGCTAATTTGTCCTCCAAGGAATATAGTGACCTTATGCAACTTTTGAAGCAGTCAATACTGGCAACAGACCTCACACTGTACTTTGAGTAGGTATTGGCTTTTGATCTATTTGACAAATGGGTATCTAAAATTTCAACCTGTAATTAATTTTCAGGTCCATACTGTAGGTTGCTTGTTATTCTAGCACTGATATCAAAGTGTAAATGAGTGGAGTATAGTGTGGGAGTGGAGTCACGGGAATTGTAATAGATATGTATGATATTGTGGGGGGAAAGTGGGGCGGCGGATTGGGGGAGAGGGGTTGTCACTTCAAGGGGCAAAAAGTATAACTATTGCACTGTGTTGTACAGTTGAAACTAATTTAAAAAATGTGTGTTTCACAATTAAAAAAAAAAAAAAAAGGGGAAACAGGTTTCTTGACCATGAAACTTTTCAGAGACTGGAATATTCTAATGTGTTTTGTGAAACTCTAAGAGCTGGTGCAAGAGGTGTGCAGCATTTCTCAAAGCGATCTGTCCAAAGATTCCTTTTACGATGGACCATCTTTTAGGACTGCTGTTCTCTATATAACTCCATGGTCGTGTACTATACAAGACACAGAGACGCTAAGGAAATGATGCCTTTAGTTCCTGGTCCTCAGGGCTGCCCTTCACATGAAGCCAGCTTGTCTCCCCCTCTTGTGGTTATGGCGCACTGAATAAGGAGGTCTCTTTTTGTTCTTGAGATAGTTTAAACTGACGACTGTCACGTGCAAGTACCTTAACTAAAAAATAAAATGTGGACAGGGGAAAGAAAAAAGTGTAAACGAGCTAAACTTTTTCTTGTTTTTCTCTCATCTAAATGAACTTCATTATGGTGTATCTATAAGACTAACAAATCAGGACTACAACCAAGAGATTTATATCTTTCTTCTGTGTTATGAGCCTTGTTTGAAATTTTTGACTCTGAAACTAAGTAATGACCATTTTTATTTTAAAGACTGACTAAGATTGCTATTTTAGACGATTATTTCTTCTGGTCAGATCTGTAATGGCATTGATGATGCTAATTGAAAAAGATTTGTTGCTGAAAGGTTGATTAGAAATCCAAGCCTTCATTTCTTGCCTCTCCTCTATCTGTCTTTCTCAGAAGGGCTGTCCCCCTTTTTATCCAATTTCAGGCCCCCATCTGAACTGTAAGTTCCATCCCCTTCATTTCCTCCTAGACCTGCTCCATCCGGTGCCACGTTTTTTGGCAGTCTGGAAATCTCTTCCTTCACTGATATGCACAGTTTTCTCTTAAAGACCAACTTCCCTTCCTTAAAAAATTCTTTCACTTGATCTGATGCAGATCTTTAATTGCTTTTCAATTATCTTTCTTTTGCTGCCTAGCTTTTAAAATAAATGGCACACATTAGTACCTTTATTTTCCTAACACCCATTTACACCTTAAAGAGCAGCATCCACCTTCACATTCTATCAAAATTGTGACCTACTTTCAGAGGTCACCAGAGACTTCCTTGTCCCCAAATTCAATGTTCTTTATTTATTTCTGATATTTTCTAGCTTCTTTGAGACATCTGAAGGTTTACTGACTCATTGTCAATTTCTACACTCCTTTCTTCCCCGACATCCAGCTGCCTTTCTCCTCTTCTGGGTCCTTTGTGAGTTTCTTTTATGCTCCTATGTATGAGTTCTTGAACCCGTGTTCTTCTTTCTCTACTGTACTTAGATTCACTCCCCTGACTTCATCTCTGTAATACCTTTATATAGATAGGTCTATAGAAGACTCTGGAATCCTTCACTCTAAGCTTCCCTCATATTCAGGACATGTGTCTCCAACTTCCATCTCAAAACACTTCAGTAGCTTCATTGCTTTCAAAGCAACCTCTAAATTTGCGTTTGACTTTCAAGGCCCCCCATAAAGTGCCTTCAACCTTTTGTTCATTCTTATTTTCCAATTCCTTCCTATATGATTTGTCTGCTCCACCCAGACGGGTCTACAGGTTACCCTTTGAAAACGCCTTATGCAGTGCCCCTCATACCCCAATCATATTACTATTCCAACACGGAATCTCAACCCTCCACTTCCCCATCTGGCTGAACTATCCTTTAGGACTCATCTCTTCTGCCACCTTTTCTAGGAATCCTGTGTCACTCACTTTGAAATCTTACTGCACATTGGCATTGTATCAGTTAGAATTAGATTCAATTGTAAGGGACAGAAAACCCAAAATAACAGTGGCTTCCTTTTCTATCATGGAAAAGAAGCCTGGAGATAATTAACCTGCAGCAGGTACAGTAACTATGTTAAGTCATCAGGAACCCAGGCTACTTCTATCTTTCTGTACTGACACCTTCGACACATGGTTTGCACCTTAGTCCAGGATAACAGCTCAAGCTCCAGGCATAATGTCCATATTCCAGCTAGCAGAAAGAAGGAAGGGACAAAGAAGAAAGGGCCCAAATTCTGATGCAAGGTATCTTTTAAGAGAGTTTTCGAGAAACTCCACATAACACTTCCACTTATATTTCACTGGTCGCAATTTAGTCATTTGGCCATACCTAGGTTGAAGGAAGGTTGGGAAAGGAAGCCTTTATTCTGGATGTAGTCATGTGTTACGTGGCGTTTTGGACCTCATATACAACAATGGTATACCGTGCAGCCTAGGTGTGGAGTAGGCTATGCCATCTAGGTTTGTGTAAGTGCACTCTGTGATGCTCCCGCAATGATGAAATCACCTAACGATGCATTTCACATGACGTATCCCCATTGTTAAGCAGCACATATCTGTAATCGTATGCCCCACTAAAATCCAACGGTTCTATTACTAAGAAAAAAAGGGAGGAGAAATACTGGAGTAGATAACTGACAGTGTGCCACATGTATTGAATGTTGGCTTCTGCTGCCTGGGTTACTACATGGCAATAATGGAAGGAGTAAAGGCTTTGGAATTATTGGCCTGCATTTAAATCTCATTCTGACATTCTAGTTAAAAACTGGTATATTGAGCCCAAGTGTCTATGTCTTCTCCCTCCTGAAACTTGACTGAAACAGTAAATGAATTTAAAAGGTAACAAAGGCATCAATCTGCAAGGAGGAAGAGAGAGGGCACATAACAACTGATAAGACATGTCAATACACTTGTGGAAAATGGGAGGCCAGATGACAAATGGTAGCTGGTCTACAGAGTAGAAGGGGAAAGTAGGACCCCTGGAGAAGGACAACTCTGAGAGAAAAGCCGGTTTGCCTTGCAGAACCTTGCTTGGGGCTCAGAGACAAAAAGTGCCATGAAAAGTGGATGTGACACTCAAGGCTTAAAACAAGGAGATTATTAGAAAGTCAGTCACAGAACACTCAGAGCCTATGAAGTCCTCCACCAACACAGCCAGAGAACCCCCTTTCCCCTACCCTGGAGAAGGCCAGAGATTTAGTCTCTGGAAAATGGAAGAAAGAGCCCTGGAAGCCTGCATTAAAAACCCATAGCCCATAGCCCAGTCACCCAGAAGCTAGAAGTCCATAATCCACATGCCCAGGGTTGTCAGATTTAGCAAATTGAAATACAAGAAGCCCAGTTAAATTTGCATTTCAGATAAACAATGAATAATGTTTTAGTATAATATGTCTCATGCAATGATTGTGTGGGACACACACATACAACTCCTGCTCAGTCTTTTAATGTCCTGGTATTACATACAAATAGATACCAAAGATCATAGAACACTGATGAAACCTCCCATATGAAACACACAGGCTGAAACTAACAAAAAAAAAAAAAAGGGAATCAGAGAAAACAGGGAGTGGAAGAAATCACAAAAACTATTGTTACTATCCTTAGGGAGCTAAGATAGTACATCCATGAAACAAGAACAGGATGCTTTAAAAAATAATGGGGTGGGAGGGGTGACCGGTAGCTCAATTGTTTAGAATATGGTGCTGATAACACCAAGGTTGCCAGTTTGATCCCCACATGGGCCACTGTGAACTGTGCCCTCCTTAAGAGTCAACTATGCCTTTGTAGCATGAAAGCAATGTGTTACCAATGACCATGGCTGTTCCCCAATTAATAATAATAATAATAATAATAATAATAATAATAGGGGCACCACAGGAGAAGAAAGAGCATGTGTAAATTAAAAACATGGTGATCAAACTAAAAAAGTCATGTGAAAGCATTGAGAAATACAGTCACAGGATAAGAAAGCCACAATATTGAAAACACTGCTTTATTTTATTATATAGTTCACCCTTGAACAACACAGGCTTGCACTGTACAGGTCCACTTGTACAGATTTTTTTCAATAAATACAGTCGGCCCTGTGTATCTGGGGGTTTCACATCCATGGATTCAACAAACCATGGATCAAAAACAGTATTTTCGGTCCTCTATTGGGACTCCGTAGAGGCAGAGGGCCGACTGCATGCATTGTTGTACACTATTTTATATAAAGGACTTGAGCATCCATGGATTTTGGTATCTTCAGGGGTCCTGGAACCAATCCACCACAGATACTGAGGGGTGATGGAAGTTTTTGGAGAGTCCAAAGTTATATGTGGATTTTCAATTGCATGGGAATGGTTGGAACCCCTAACCTCCACATTACTCAAGGGTCAACTGTATGCTTTTTAGCATTATTTGATTTGTTAACTATGTATGTATTACTTCAATAAGTATAGTTTTTAAAAAATTTTATTGGGGAATTGGGGAAGGGGAACAGTGTTGGGAAATCAGAGAAGGGGAACAGCCAAGTTGTTGTCCTTCAATCTTAGTTGTGGAGGGTGCAGCTAGCTTAGCTCCAAGTCCAGTCGCCACCTAGCCACCCATTGGCAGCTTGCGGCCACTCAGCTCAAGATGCTGTGTTCAGTCTTAGTTGTGGGTGGGCAGAGCCCACCACCCCATGCAGGAGTTGAACCGGCAACCTTGTTGTTAGGAGCATGTGCTCTCACCAGCTGAGCCATCCTGCCACCTGTTGGCAGCTCAGTGGCAGCTCAGCTTGGGCGCAGCTCACTGGCCCGTGTGGGAATCGAACCAGTGACCCTGTTGCTCAGAGCTTGCACTCTTAACCAACTGAGCCACTCAGCCAACCTGGTAAGTATAAATTTTAAT